AGCACCTGCATTTCTGACTGATCATATTTGGGATGATAGCTGTCTAGTATTGCCAGAAATGCAGCCTCTTATCATTCTGTACAATATTTTGGTGGTATGCTATGTAATAATTTTCCTTGAGAGCTTTTAATACCCCATTTGGTGGTAAATTGTTATGATACCTTTAGCTGTGGAGCAAAATAAAAATTTTTACTTGAGAAAGTTTATTGACAAAGAGACTTCTTCATTTGCCTTTACTACATATATTTTTACTGATTTCGTGGTTTCATCTAGAATTCTCCACTTAGTTTCCTAAATCTTTTATATAAACAGATTTCTTTTCAGGTATCTGCTTCTGGAGCAGAATTATATATATATAAAGTCCAGCAACTAATCCTCAATTCATAGACATTTTAAAAAAATGTTTCTGGAGGCTTGTGATTGTCAGATCAGGCTGCAGGCAGAAAGCAGGCTGGGAAGATTATTGATTTTTTTTTCTTTAGCTGGTTTGTTTGTTTGTTTTCAAAGTGGTTTCCAAGCACTTGACAATGAAATACATTCTGAGACCAGAAAACTCAAAAGTACAACAAAGCTTTGCAGAACTTTTGTGCTTAGAGAACTGGTATGTTACAACTGACTAAGAAAACACTTTTTTTTAAAGAGAATTGAGCATTTGTTCAGCTTTGCTGAAAAAAAAAATACACAGAGCCAGTTAAGCCAAGAAATAAGTAATAACGAACACATTCAGAAAGAGACATACCAGTTAATTTTCTGCTTTCCCCTTTAAGAGGTTAAGTCTAAAGAGGGCAGCTATCTTAACTGCCCTCATTTTCTCTGTCACAGAAACTTTAACCTTCTTTACAGCTGACAAGGTTTTGAAGCAAAGCTGTCCTCACGTATTTTCCCATTATTGTCTTGGAGTACTTTTCCCTTTCTGATCTGTCTGATCATTACTAGATGCACTGACTGCATCAAAATGTCTTTAAAGTAGTCCATTATGACTATCGAGCTCTTTTAAATATTGGCCACCAACTGCTGGCTCCAGTGGTTAAGAATCTGAATCTAACTGTTCTTTTGCTACTTTGTCTGCATTAAAAGAAATTCAGAATTTCTTTTTTCTGACCACAGGTGCAAGGGTAGTATGACATGATGCCCTGCATGGAAGTCAGGGCATTCCCATGTGCTGTGCCTTCTAGCATGTATTATGAAATCCTGCTGGTAGTAGATGCTTTTAAAGAAAGGCAATTTACACTGAAGCCTGTCATTCAAGCCTGCTGTTATGGCATGAATTTGCATGTGAATACTTTCTGTATGCACCCACAATTTTTTTACTGACCATAGATTTGTGGGAGGCTCTTTCTGTATTTTAAAATCTTAAAAGTGAAAGACCTTTTCAGGCAAAGACTTTAAGGTGAATTTGCTCTGCAAACATACTCATGCTCAGTCAGGAGGTTTGCAGTATATTTGAGGATGAGATTGGAGTCTGAAGTACTAAATAAACAGCTACGTGGCAGCTTTGTACAGTATCTCAGGCTGGATCACACACTGATATTGAATCAACAAGGTCTGAATGTAGGAGAAAGCAAATATGGCATGGGCTGTGTAAACACACAGGTTTGCCTTCAGAAAGTTCCTTCATTGTTCTTGATAATGCTCAGGCCTCAGGGCAGAGATATTTCAAAACTGTGGATACAGCAGCTTTGGTTCACGGAGAAGTGTTTATTCCAGGAATGATCAGAAATCTAAAAACTGAGACTGGGAAATGGTGAAAAAAAATTGGAGTTTTTAAGGGAGGTGCTATTGGAGCTCTGATATCAGTCATCTTCTATGTAAGAGGTTGGTGCAAGACAAAGGATAAACTGTTCTTTGTCTGCTGGGGATAGGACAAAGTAATGTGCTTAAAATGGACGAAGAGATCGTTGTGGAGCACATTTGGAATGCTGATGATAGTGCCAGTGAAGTGGCATGAATATATTGCCCAAGGAAATGAGATTGTTATGGGATGTGCTATTTTTTAAGATGGCCAACTGGTAGAACTGGTTTAATTCCAATAGCTTTTTCTGGTGGAGACAATGGACTTAACACCCTTTATATTGTTTTTAAAAACAAAGACCTGCAGTCTAAAGACATTCATATTTAGTAAGAACTGCTCTGGTTGCACTCCAGGCAACCATGGTCAAGGTTTTACCTTCTTTTGACAATGTTGAGCTCTCTTGTCCTAAATAAATATCCCTGCTTCTAAGAGTACCTCTGTCTAGAGGATAATATGCTTTTCATATCTTTCAGGGTAAGGAAAAACATCCATGCCTTGTTTGAGTTAGTTGTGAACTGATGGAAAGCAGCTTTCATCCAAAGAAAGTAAATTTCCTATTTTTAAAGTACTTCAATGATTTTGTAACTTTTTAATTAAAACAAGCCTATAAATGGGAATCTTTTCTCCTGACTAATGGCATTTAATTATGTGACATGCGGCTTCTAATTGCCAACTTTTCAGCAAGTTATAAAATGTGAATAAGAACATAAGAGCTAGGAAGTCTATTCTTGTTACAAAAGATCATGGTTTACAAGACTCTCATCGTACCCTGCATGAGACTACATAAGTTCACTTCTGTGCCTGACTCTGAAACTGAAATTAAAACTGTGCTTTAGTTAGGAGAATTTGGTATGACTCAGATTTCTTGTAATACACTGCTATGATGTTACTCTTAAAACTTCTGCAGTAGGAGGACAACTCAGTGAGGTATGTGTTGAAAGAGGTGCAAAATACCAGATTTTCCTAAAACACACATGCACACAGACACACACATAGTTGCTGAATCTACCTCATAAATCTGGCATGACCAAGCAGGTTTTGCATGTATCTACACAGGTAATGTGTTTAGAGATTTGGGATTAATATGAAAGGCTTGGGATTTAATTAACATCACAGTTCAGTTCTCTCTTCTTCAAGTGGTATTAGTGCCTTTTAATCTTTCCTTGACTTTGCCAGCTGATAGAGGACTGTCAATTGATTGTGCTATAGAGCTTGAAATTTTGGGTTTGGACTTTTCTGCAAACCAGAAATAGCCTTTGAAGAAGCTCTCAGAAACAGATAAAATTTGCATATACTTCACAGACTGAAATAGAAATCAGTCATTTTATTCATGTAGCTCCCAGGCCTGGCTGAATGGTATTCGCTTCACTGCCAGAGGTTTGTGAGCAAAGTTTAAACCTGTAGATAACAATCCATATTTTCATTAATGACATGGAGAAGTGCAATATGAGTACCCTGAGATATACCAGAATGCAGAGGGGGGAATTTGGCACAGAGATTAATACATTTTATGTGCTGGTTGGTTCTTGATTCATCTTTACCTAAATTTGTCAACCTCTGCTCCTGATTTGGCTTTTAACAAGCTGCACAGTATGGATATTACAAATTAGGAATATATGAAAAATATTCTCTGGGGGCAGTGTAGCTTATATTAGTGTATGTTTTGTGAGGTTTTCAAGTGATTTGAGAACATGCTGAAATTAAAATAATAACTAAGTTTTATGGGTGCCCCTCCATATGTAACAGCGGTCCTGACCGTAGCATTTCTCTCATCTCTTGTGCTGCCTGGACCTTTCCTTCATCCTGGTTATTGCAGACCAAGAGAAAGAAGAGAAATGGCTTCTGTGAGCAGCTCTGCATTATTTGGCTTAGTGCTACTGTGTTTCTCCTCACACAGTGCAGATTAGTAACAGACAGAAGAGCATTTCACGCATTTCCAGCTGTCCCCTAAGGGAAGATTCCCTAAAAAAAAATTAAAAAAAAAAACCAACCAACACACCAACAAAAACAAAACAAAACAAAAAAACAACAAACCAAGCTCATAAAAATACAGGGGATGAGGGAGCACAGACCTGGTGGTGCAGGAAGCTTCTGTGTAAAGGGGCTTTTTTTAAAATTACAGAGACTTTTAGACAAAGTTTGTTATTCTGATGATGTTTGCCTGGCTTTGGAAGATATTTCTGAGTCAAGGTCAGAAGCCTTTCAAAGTAGAATCCTGGACAAAATGGGAACAAAGCTGCTCTGTAGGACAGGTTGGCTTGGTCATATTCTAACATGAAGATGACTCAGCTCTTGCTGTTGGTTGCTGAGAAGACCTCTGGCTACATGGTCTCTGGAAGGGTGCTTATGTCTTCAAAGATTTCAGGTAGCAGGGAAACCATGCACCAGGTATTGACTGAGATTTTGGATAGGTTTTCTTGCAGTTTTCCCCTTCTGAGAATAAAATCTGAAAGTGGTTGATGTGTGGGTGGAACTGAGTGTGTTCCCAGGGCCCTGCTGAACAGCTGAGCTTCTCTTTTTAAAACAAGAAACTTGTTAAATCTTCAGTGAACACACTAAACATAATATTCCAGATAAGTTTTTATGTTACGGTCGGTAGTTTCAGCAAAAAGTATTTTTTGATAAAGGAATGGCTCACTTTTTTTTTCTCCATTATTTTTCCTCCAAGGGTTATTAGTTAACACTGGATTGAACCAGTGATCCTCGGTGATCAGATCTGGTTCGGCAATGTCTAGGGCACCCCTTAGGTTTGAATCACAGCTTTTTGAAAATTGAGCAGAGGAAAGAAGAAAACAGATGGTGTGTTTGGTCTTAAGTGCATAAATTAATCAGAGGACATTTCCATTCATGGTATACAATATCCTTTGTAGATATGGCATTTAATCGAAGATAAAGAGGCTTATCCTAGGAGAATACTCTGCCATGTCTGTTCAGTTCTGATATTAAATAGTCCTGAAGAGTACCTATGAACTGTAGAGTTTTATATTTCTCTGATTCTTGAGGAAATATCTTAGAGAAAATGCATGAATCAAGGAGTTGTTGTAACAGAGAAGAGGTTTGTTTGCCAGATGAAGGAAAAGGAGTTGTTATGCCGGGGAACATTACTGAGGAAGAAAAGTATATGGAACAAAAAGTGGCATTTGTGGCATACCAAGTCCAGAATTTAAAACTTTGGGGTTTTTTTCTTTATTTCTGTATTTAATTTTAGAACTGACCAGCTTGTTGGAAGATGATGTTTACTCTTGCTTAAAGCTGCTATTCTTAAAACAAACAGTAGAAGAATGTGGAAGAACTCAAGCCTCCGCTGCCTTTTAGCACTAGCTATTTTATGCTTAAGAAGCTTAATATCTAGCCAAGAGATAGGTAAGTTCATTGCAATGCAATTCACTAACTCATTTTTCTCTGTAGCTTCTGTACCTTGTAATTTCATTGCTTTCCTACTATATGTATGTTCAAAACCTGTCACCTCTGTGGCCCCACACCACCATAGGGATGGAGGCAATGCTAGGCCTGGTCTCTGCTTTCCACCAACACCCAGCAGCATCTTGCAAACCAGTGCAAAAAGGAATGTTAAATTCTCCATAGTACCACTGATAGTCTGCATATGCATTGATGTAGATGTCTACATTGAAGCCTTTGTGCTGTATACGTTGGATCTCTTCAACCGTTTCACACCTTATCATTAACTGTCCTTCTGTCATTAATTGCCCTCCATGTATGACATGGAGGACAGCAAAAAACTCATTAGGTTAAAATAAAAGCTTGTGGTTTTGCCATTGGCCCAAAGCCTGCTTATTAGGCTAGGCAAGGAATGGGTACTGTGGAAAGAGGCAGCTGCCTCTGTTATATGCATGAGTATAAATCCATACCTCAGGTATCTCTACAAGTCTGTGAGTCTGTGGCTGTCTAATCAGCCACACAAATCATTCAACAGTTTTAAAATATTGGCCAGACATGCATGCAATAAAAATTTAAGAAGAATGGCTACAGATGTGAAAAAATGTTTTACAGTTGCTCATTTTTTACCTGCAGTTTTTTTACTGCATTTTTTATATGATTTCAGGCTCTCCCAGGGACCCCCAGAATTTGAAATGTGTAACGCACAATTTACACAAAATGCTCTGTACTTGGGATGTCTCTTCTAGAGGAAGACATGGACAAACTGACTTTTGCTACACTACCAAGTAAGTCTCTCCACATACCTGGTTAAAAAATACGAAATTGTGATGAAGGTACAGTTTTTTCTCAGTCACTGTCCATGGAAATTGTGATGCTGTTGTTTCCCAGCATCTCCCCACCAGTTTTCCTTGGGTGGTGCTTCCCCTAGGCCCTGTTAACTCAGGCAATGGCAGGGTTTCTGGCAAAGCTGTTCCATGCTAATAATTTGCCTGCCAAAATCTTCTTGCTGTTTTCAAAGGACTGGAAGATGCTCTTATTTACTCAGACTTCTCTGTATGTCTGCCTATCCGTTGGTCAGAGATTTCATGAGGGATATCTTCAAAACAGGTTCAGTCCAAAAGGAAATGAGAATTGGAAGCAATGAATCCTTATGTTGTGGGCCAAAGCAGTAGAGTATGACACAAGTTTGAGATTCACGTGGATTTTATGTGGAAAAACATGAACAATCAGTGACTGCCTTAGAACCTTTTATAAATTTTAAGCTGTATTAGAGGAAACATAAAAATTATTTTGCAATTGAAACAGCTTTTCTGAAGTGAATGCAAGTTGAGAATTTTGAGAAAAGTTTAAAAAAACTTAAATCTTCTGTGTGTTTTTTCACTAATGAGAACTACATGTTCAATTCCCCATGCTGTGGGTCTGCCAAATACTTATCATGTGCTAGGGATGAGTTCAAATCCATTCTGCATCTTGATCCTACCCCCAGTCCAGATATTTGTACTGTCTTTTTTTTTTTTTCCTGTAAATTCTGCAGGCAGCCCAGACTTTTCCTTGGGGTCCCAGGGCTTGGCTGCACTTAGTCCACCTACATGCTTGATTTTCTGTGTCTCATTATTCCTTCTGCATTGCCAGCTATCATTTCTATTTAAAAAACACCATATATATGACTCTGTGGCCAGAGTTCAGAAGTGCAGAGTTCATGAGGTACTGCCCTCTGAACAGGAACAATCATGTAGCTTCTGCTGTTTCTCCTTAGCAAAGCAGGAGAGGCTGGGGTCCCTGAAGCAGAAAGTCTGAGCAGACATCCCTGAGGGAAAGAGGTTTTGTTTTTCAGTTGCCCAAACATCCTCTAATAGTATCTCAGTACCAAAGAGGAACAGCCTTTCTGAGCACTCAAGTCTCAGCTGGCCTTTGCTAGCCCAGAATCTTGTGAGTTCAACCCAAGTTCTTGACTCCAGCTGATGGGAGCTCCAGGGTCCTGTTCCAGTTCATAAGTGAGTAACAGTCCTTCAGCAGGAAGTCTGGCATTGTTCTCTCTGCTTTCCTTCCTGCCGTCATTCCCCCAAGAGGAAGGTCTGGATTTTTCCAAACTTTCTGACTTTCTAGTTGCATATCAGTGATAATGAGCAAAGGGACTTGACCCATCCATTATTGTTTCCTGTATATATCTACATCTTAAAGACAAAAGCCAGATCACATTGTGCTGAGCACTGCACAAACATTAAGCACAGGCTACATTTTCACCTGGGATCTTAGGAATCCTCTGCCCTGCTTTCTGCTCTTTTCCTGTGAACTGAGCAGCAGAAGGAAGCTAAAAGATTGGACATGGGTATTAATCCTTCTCTTTCAACTCATGTGAGGGCGCTTGGGTTGAAAAGAAATGGAGGGAGAGTGAGTCAGGAAACACAAAGGGAAGAGACAATGCTATTAGGCTTGGTTTGGGTTTTTTTGTTTTTCTTATTTTAAAATGTTGATTCATGGTGACTAGATTTCAGAAACATGTCTTTTGTTGACCTCAAGTTTAATTAGATATTAAGAAATTTTTTTTTCACATAAAGGGTTGTAAATTATTGGAACAGACTGCCCAATGAATTGGTAGAGCTTTTGTTGACCTCAAGTTTAATTAGATATTAAGAAATTTTTTTTCATATAAAGGGTTGTAAATTATTGGACCAGACTGCCCAATGAATTGGTAGAGTCACCATTCCCGCAAGTGTTAAAAAGCATGTGGATATGGTACTTAAGAACATGGTTGAATGGTGAACGTGGTGCTTGTGCTAGGTTAACAGTTGCATTTGATGACCTTAAAGGTTTTTTGCAACCTTAGTGATTCCATGATTCTATGATTTTGGTTAAAAAGCAAGATCTTCACTTTGAAGTGTTCGCTTAAGAGCTGATTGGTTGCATTATGCAGCCACTGCATAATCTACCACTATGATAAAAGTGACTTGAAAGATGAGGGAATGCCATTAATCTGACATTAACCAAAGCCCAAGCAAGTCTCACTCCTTCACAAACTCCATATGGAATTTTCTGTTTATTACAGAGAATTTGTGTTCTATTAGTGTGCAAGAATAGGACTTAACTTGCCTTAGCTTCCTATCAGCTGAAATAACTGCTTAATCCTGTTTGTCTTTCTAGTGACCTTACCCCTCAAGCGTGTTTTAAAACTAAGGAGAGAAGGGTTGAAATTCCAATTCCAGAAAGCTCCATCACAGTGACAATCAGAAGTTCTGGAGCTGCTTTTGCTACCAGAGAATTTGTAATTCACCAGAAAAACATCTGTAAGTATCAGGTCATATGTGTGTACCTAAGGCATTTATACTATGTTTGACAGCTTTTCAGATGTGTATGCTTGCAGGTTTCTTTGGCAGCATTCCTGTATCTATAATGTTGATATCCTGACTCCATGAAAAGCTTCCATATATTTTCATAAATGCTTTTCTCTAACCCTTCAAGAGAAAGAGTACTCCTGTTACACATAGTTCATAACAGAAAAAATCAAGGGCAGAATGTGAGGAGGAAAACAAAATACAACAATGTTATATCCCTCACTCTTTTCCCTTTTTAGTCCTAGTTAGAAATTAGGAAGCATTTGTAAACAAATTCCTAAACTACTTCCATAAGTAAATTAGATTTTTTCCCGCTTCCTTCCAGGCAAAGAAGGAAGTTGTAAACAGAAGATGGCAATGACACAATCTGCCATGCTTGGTCTAGTTTTTGCCTTTGCTTTGCCTGCTTACGGCTTCAGTGTGGTCAAATTCTAATATCAGTAACACTTCTTATCCATGGTTCTCTTTCCAGTCAAGAGCAGCTCAAGAACTTATACAAAATGCAACTCAAAAATATTTGGTGTACATGATAAATCTCTCAGGTTCATCACAGGTTATCGTGAGCAGTGTGTTGATTGTGCTGAACGCTTTGCAGGCTCTCAGATCCTTGGTCAGGACTAAAGTTGGATGTATCACACATATTTTTAAAATGTTTTCATTTGCACCAGGCCCAATGAACTGCTATAACCCCTGTATTACCAAGGTTCTTCCCTGTTTCTCAACCTCTTGCTTCACCACAACACATTTTTAGAAGAGATGCTTCTGTTTAATCTCCCTGTCCTGTCCGTGTCAGGATCTCATGCCCTTAATACTTGTTGTAGCTTAAAATCACTTTCACTGTGATCTTCAAAACCTCATGTGAGCTTGTTCTATCTTCCTTGCTACTCTCCCTTTTGTTGCAAGTCCCCACTTCCCTACTGGTCTCCAAAACATACTTCTTCTTTTGGGGATTTTTTTTTTCCACCATTCCCCCTAGAAATCTCATGCACATTTCAAACACTGCTACCATATTTCCTTTATCATTGTGGTATTGAATGAAGGTTGGGAAAGATGGGATATCTTCCCTACTATGCGTTGTGAAGAGTCATATTCACAATTAATTACTCGCCCATCTATATGCTGAGGTATTAAAAGAAAATGCTGCCTGATGATTCATCAGCACTTCTGATTTCCTGAGAACTCTCATGCTCAAGTAGCCACAGAGCCTTGTTCTAATTACAGAGGTTGAGTAACAAGTTTGTGTGGCTACTAGCCAGTTCAGAGCACAGGGATGTGGCTGTTAAACACCTGTAGGGCTGGTGCTGCTGGCTAATGACCTGAATATGGCTTTTTTTTTTCTCCCCCTGCCTCTTTTTCAAGCCTTTGTTCCTGTCACCCCACAAATTCTTAGTTTAATGCCTGACTTTCCAACTTCCACGTTAAATCTGAAGTGGAGTGATAATGGATCGGTCTTCCCATATGGACTGGATGCCCTTTGGCAGATTCAGATACTCCGAAAAGAAGCTATGGAAATAGTCACACAAGTAAGTCCCTTTCTTCTTTTATGAAAAATATATGTACAGTTTTTGCCTTTGGTAATGTTCTGAGAGGTCACTTGAACAAAAATGGGAACGATGAAGATAGTGGAGCTTTGCAGAACCCGAGTGTAATCATGCTTCTGGCAGGTAACTTGTTAAATTTCACAGTTTTGGGAACACTGGCTACTGAACTGTTGGTACTTAATCACAGCAAAATTTGGCAGATACTTTACACCTTTGTCTCTATATCTCCAATAGTGTCTCTAGTCTTGGTCATGTCTGAATGCTCAGCTTGCTTTTTTCTTTTTTTTTTTTTAATCAGAGTTCTTCCAGGCCAGTTTGTAGCTCTGTGCTATAAATTTTAATAATGGAGAAAAGACGAAAAGTCTGGGACTAAAATTAGAAGAGTTTTATTTTGGAGAAGTTGGAACATTTTGCTGCCCATGAAAAGCCCAGGGTGCAGTAAAACTGGACACAGTTTTACTGTGTAAAACTGGACACAGAGCAGTGTACCTCTTTAAGTACTTGGGAATCCTCCTGCTCTCCCTCAAATGTCTGCCCTCTGGTATTTCTGGCTGACAGTCTACCTAGCTGTTGGGCTGTTTAGCAACTTGAACTTTTGTCCTGGTAAATTCATAGCACAACTAAAAGTTAGGTGGAACATTCCAATAATCAAAATAATCAAACACTCCAATAATCAAATTATGATTTACTTCACCAAATTTGCCATTCTATTGACACTTTGGAGATTATAGGCCATTGTATTAACAGGTGTTCATAAGTTCTGTCTTGGTTGATTTCTTGTTGCAAAACTTTGCAGGTTACATACTACTCAAAACTGACTGGTGAAGATGTGATTCTTTCTTGGAACTGGACATCCGATATGCCTTTGGAGTGCACATCACACTATGTGAAGATTCGCTGTTACATTAATGCAACACAGTTTGTCGGCCCCAAGGATTGGAGCGACTGGAGCCCAGCAGAAGTGATCCCAGGTATGTTTGTTCCCTTGCAACCACATGGACTTTTATTTCTTTATAAGAACTAAGCCAAGGTCAGAGGATGAGCATTAGGTGGTGATGGGCTACTGTTTGAGACTGTTTTGATTAGTGAAAACACAATCACTAGTTAATGAAACCTAGGAAATATTTATTTGTATGCATTGGAGTGCTCCTCTGTCACATTTTAGCTGATCAGCACCATGTTTATAGCAAATTGTTCATGTTTGGTTTTTTTTGTTTGTTTGTTTTCTTCCTTCTCTGCTAGGAAAAGATACCGAGCCTGGTGGAAGTGGAGTGTTTCCTCTGGACCCTGTGGTGGCAGTGGGTTCAGATTTGACGTTCTGTTGTGTCCATGAAGAAGATCAGCACATAACAAATATGACTTATGGATCAAAATCCTACACAATGATGCAATTGAGCCGTCGAAGCCATGCCATCAGAGTGCTAAATGCCAGTGTTTCAAATACCAGTGGAACAAATGTAGTGTGCAGACTTGAAAATGGGTTGGAAGGAAGCGTCGTGTTTGTAGGATGTATGTATCATGATTACTAACCTTAGGAAAATTAAAATCATTTTGAGATTCTTACAGTTCTGCTAGGGAAAAAATACTATTGTGTTTTTTTTGCCTCCTGGGAGAAAAAGTTTTGAAGTTTGGCTTTGAAATTGGACTAGGGGTTGTACTTGTTTGATTTCACTGTAGAAAGGTCAGTTCATGGAGGAGACACCAAGTCTCAAAGTATGAGAATGTGTCCATGTAAGCCCTCTTTAGAACCTGCCCCAGTGCTTCTCTCATTGGTCTCATGTTCTAAGGTACTTTTTCATGATCTGGAATGCCAAGTAGTTTACTGCCATGTGAATATTCAACCCCTGTCTCTACCAGTCTCTATCAGTTTAGGTTTCCAGCTGTTCTAGTATAGTCCATGACTAGGTGAGAGTAAGAGCAAGAACAGTAAGTGCAAACATTCATTTACCAGTCAGTCAAGTGAAGACCACAGTTAAATTTGCAGCAACAACAGATGTTCATCCAGGGCAGAAGCTCCTTGGGAGATAATTACAGCAAAGGAAACTAGGCAGTAATTCCTGTGCATTCTTCTAAAACATCCTTTTACTGTTTTCTTTAAAGATACTGACTCACTTTGTATCTTCTCTGTGTAGCCATGCAAAGCTCAGACATATGTTCAGAAACAGATACCTATTAAAACAAATGGCTTAATGTACCTCGTTCTTCTTCCCCAACATTGGTTACTTTAAAGTTTTTTATGTTTTTTCCTCACAGGGGATTTGAGTTGTCACCTTCCAATAGCTGCTTATTAGAATCCCATTCGCTATTACAAATGCCTGCCTTTGAACTTAAGGTCCTTGGGGTGGAGGAAAAAGACAGGAGATACTGGAATAATTTTGAAAGCATGTTCCAATCACCAGCCTGTGCATCCTGTCATTGACTTGGTCTGATAAGGATTCACTAGGAAATGCAAAACAGAATTCAGCCTTTTATTACTTCTCAGCGATATACCATTTTTACGTTATTTGCGCAGAATTTGCTTTTGTGGGAAAATCTTCCATGTAAATAGATCAAGAATGAAAGCTATGACAACCACATAGGATTTTCCTTAACTTCTTTTTTTTTTAACAGATGGGATGCCAAGTCTGTTTCTTACCAGTGCTTCTTTTTGTAGTACCTGCTTAGTGGGGTGAGGTCTTGTTACGGTCCTTTTGCTGGTGAGGGGAAGAAAACATGAAGGAAGTAAATATGTATACACACCACTTTGGTTAAGCCTAGGTCTATCAAAACAGGCATTTTTTTCTGGCTCACTGTTCTTAATCTGAGCTAAGTCTGCCACCCTTGCCTTGTGTGTTAATTCCCCTTCTCCAGGGCAGAGAGAAGGGGATAAATCTCTGCGTGGATATTGTTGCTCTACCTTTGGCATACACTTTTCCAGTTTCATACACCTTAAGTGTACAAAACCTGAAATCAGTGCTCTCCCTAGTCTCATGTTTGCATGGTTACCTCTCTCTGGGAGCATTGCCTATGTTTTCCAGCAAGGCACTCATCACTGCTCTAGTGTGGGCGCAAAGAACAAGACTTAAAAGGAAAAGCTGGACACTTCCAAAGCCATGGTGAAGAGGATGAGCCATTCAGGGCTTGCTTTAATTTTCAAATTCAGTTTGGAATTCATGCTAAAGGGCCTATTTTCTTGACACGACTTGTTTGGAGAATTCAAGCAGTGGTGGGGCTGACATGTTAGAAAATGTGATATACAGCCGACAGCATTCCTGCATTGCTCAGCAGCTGAACTGATGCTCAGAATTTCAGAAAACTCTTGGCATAGTTTCAGTGAAATACTTCCAGGTCAGAGCCTGGAGCTTGTGAACATGTTTGCATGAGATTTGCCAGATTACCCACCCACTTAGAATTCTAGAGTCAAGTGTTAGTCAGATGGGGCTGATAATTATCCATCTATTTTATTGTCATTTTTTAAAAGCATATTACTTCTGTGGTTGGGGTGAAGCTATTGCCATGTATTTTTGAAGCATGCAATCTAGACCCAGCAAAACAAAAGAGCAATGCTTTCAGGAAGCCAGTAACCCAAATGTCACACTAGGATGGCAAAACATCAGCTAACTGTTTTGGTTTCCTTTCATGTTACAGATGCTCCTGATATTCCCCAAAACCTCAGCTGTGAGACACCCAACTTTCTGATCATAAAATGCACCTGGAAACCAGGCAGGCCCAGTGGACTATATGGAGAACGAAGAAGAACAAAGTACAGTTTATTTGAAAGGTAAAATTAATCAGCACTACAAGGAGTAAAAGAATAAAACTGGAATACCTTTATTGCTGCCTAGGACTTACTGCACCATACCTATTTAAGTGTGATTGCTTAGAGCCTAAAATACTTTCCAAGAGTTTCAGCAAGCCGTACCTAAGCTAAATTTGGAAAACCCTGGTTTAGGCCTCCAAAATTCCAGTGGGAATTAAGGATGACTTTCCCTACGATTTACGCCATTATGAACCCACAATCAGATAAAGGGCTTAGTGTATCAGGCTGCTGCCAACATGTAAACAGGGCCAGTATGAAAATACAGGCAGATAGTAGGAGTCAATCACTAATTTTTAATTTTTTTATATGAAACCTGGGTCAGATAATTTCACACATTTACTAAGCTTCTGCTAAGCACGATGACAGAAGTTCACTGAGAAACAATTGTAAGACAGGTCATGGGGCGTTTCCCAAATGCCACTAGGGAAAATAGCAGTTAGCCTCCATCAGTTCTCATGCCATTAGGAATTAGAGCAAACAGAGTAAATGTTACCCATAAAACATTGAAAAGGACAAATAAAACTGGTTTCACCCACAGGAAGCAGTCAACTAGTGTCCTACTACATAGTCTTTAAGGCCAGGCCATGTAAAGCCTTAAAAAAGAAGAAATATTGGAATAGCACTTGCAAAGTGCAACCACTTCTTTGGTGGTTGTCATTAGACGTTAGTGAGGAGTTAACAAAATTCCTATGGTGAGAGGAGGCTCCTGTGTCATTCCAAAGGAGCAATCAGGGAAAGAAGCCAGGAGAGGCCTGAGTCACACAAAATGATGAGAAATGGAGTCTCATGGTGGCTTAGAAGCACACTGGAGGCAATGAGGTTTGAATTACAGTCACAGATGTCATCTAGTGTGCCAGTGCTAAAAAAGCCACTGGGTAGAGTGCAAAGAGGTGAACAAAACAGGACAGATATTCACAGGAGAGGAGCTTCAGTCACTGACTACCCATGTTCATCTTATAAGTAAGAACATTGTCCAGTCTTGTTTTGCACAGCCCAAATCTGTGAGATTAATATGATGTGTTTCAAGATAAATACTCTCATCCTTATTGTCAGCCCACACTGAACTATTGAAATGGAGCACAGTGTGGAGGGAGCTCAGAACTCAGCTAGAACACAATAAAAAGCCTGAAAGAAGAAGTTAGTTAAACTTGTGCTACTGAATGAGAGGCTTACGCAGATTGTAATTAAAACAGATATATGTACTATGTACAGATACACAATTTAGATTTTATCCCTAAAGATGCACCACTGTTCTTGTCTGTTATCAGACTGCCTCTCCTGCTTTTGATTAAAAGACAGCTGGGACTAGTGGATGTATTCCAGGTAACAAACCTGAGTTCATATTTGACAGGGCTTATAGAAAGACAATGCATTTAACATCTCACTAGTTCACAAAGCAATTAAGAAAATTCTTTAAATGCAAATGTATGCTGATCTGAACAAAGATACATTAAATCAGAATCTTAGCTGTGACTTGTAAGGTGGTTTTACAGGACCTACCTGTTTTCCAGGCTTTTGAAAAGTAAGAGAATAGAAATGTTATGCTAGTGGAAGAGGACATTTTCACGTGAGAACAGGGCAAGTCATGACTGATGCCACTTTAAGCTGCTCTGTAGTGTTAGATATACCTCTGCAATCAAATCCTTCTGTAAGCCATGTGAACTGAACCCACCATTCTGTACCATGTTTTCCATCTAGAATTCTGATTGCTGCTGGGAATTAACTTACTCAAAAACTAAGCTTTTTCCCTTCCCTCTTTACTTTGTAGAACATCCGGTAAAAATGTTTCATGCGAAGTTAATGAAATGAACAGAGACAATGAAATGAACAGAGACCATGTTTGTGGCTTTCCAGTACTTCCTGATCAAAAAATCTATGATTTCATATTAGGTGTCTCCAATCCTATTGGGCAAGCACAGTCCTCTCTTTTGGTTGATATAACTCAAAGAGGTAAGACTTATGACTTAAAATGCTGCTTATCATGGAATCTCAGAGTGGCTGGGGTTGGAAGGGGCCTTAAGAATCATTTAGTTCCAGCCCAGCACACACACTCCCCATGTCCCACCTCCTGCCATGGACAGGGATACCAGACACTGGATCAGGTTGCTCAGGGCCCTCTCCAACCTTGCCTTGAGCACTTCCAGGGATGAGGCATCCACAGCTTCTTTGGGCAAGTTTATGTTTTATTTCATATTCTATTACACATCAACAATTAAAATTTAGGTGTAGGTTTACGAACCTGTATGTAAAGGACCCTGTATTTCAGTGTTGGCTTATAGGACAAAATATTACACAGTTTTACAGCAGCAGGAGTTGGAGCATTAAAAAAAATAATGTGAAAAGGCAGAAGGTAATATCAGGACTATTACCTGCTATTGGTAATAGCCATGGTCATCTGCTGTCAGGATTTGGAGAAAGAAGTAAATTCTCTCATTTAGACCTTCAGTTTAAAAAAGGAAAGGAAGATCACCACCTCTGTAGCACTGCCTTCACCACCCTTTTCTCCTCCACAGTCATGGCTGAGATTTCAGGGATTCCTATTGGTTACAGTATTCTGCTGTTCTCCAAAAAACTGAATTAAATATGAGGATAGTACATTTTATTTGGTCCGGTCCCTGTTCAACTAGTCTGAGATTAGAATTGTCAGAGTAAATTGATGGAGTTGAGAAAAGGATAATTTGTTTCTGCTAATTATTAACTGGGCTGTTTCACACCCAGGTGATATGCTGCTATTTCCCATTTGTTTCCTTTTCTTTCTTTCCTGCACTGTCCAGTTAATTTCCAAAGCACAGTACATATTTCCTTAGGGTATCTGGACCAAATCCAGCAATAGATTTATTTTCTTTTCTTTGATAGGTGTGAATGTTAGTGCTGAATATTATTGAAAAATTCCATGAAGGGAATTTTGGGGTGGGGACACTTAGGAATCCTTCTTTGTCCAGGTCTGAAAATCCTGGCAGATTTTAAGTACTAATTCAAAAAGTTCACAGAAGTTGAGCAAAGTTCAGTAAATTTCATCCATCACTTGTGATCATCTGCAATAGCTGGTGTTTCATTCTTTTGATAAAATCTGTTAGGAGGAAAAATGGTTTTCTGTGTCTCAGCTCCTTATCATGTGTGCAGTACATGGCACAGTCTTAAGTAAATCTGTTTCCATATTTGATAGCTGAGAAGATAGTGGGGAATGAGAGTGCTTGCAGGTGCTTTCCCAGTGCCAGTTTTCCCAGTTCCAGATTGAAACACTTATCCTTCTGTTTCTCTCTGATCTTCTAAAGTAAGATTTTTCTGAACTATTGTAAATGGGTTTTTTTCTTATAACTGAAGGTTCTTTCTTTATTTTTAAGTTCATCCGAAAGCCCCGGAAAAGTTAACTGTTACTGGGAACAACTCTACAAGCATCCAACTGCGTTGGTTTATAAATGGCAGCTTTGCTGAGACCAGGCTTCTGTGTCAAATTGAAATTAGCAGTAGTCACTCCGAGAGAAAACTGGTAAGGATTGCTTTTAAAAGATAATTTTTTTGAACAAATGCTAAACTTTTTCGCTGAACTAATCACATTACAAATGTATTTCTCACTAAGAGCGTCATTCTGATGGTCTTATTAGATCATTAATGTAGTAATGAATAGAAGTTCATTTACTAAAGTAAGAAAAATTCTTGCTCATCTCTGTTATTGCCTGTTTTGGTTTGTTGAGGGTTTTTTTTTTTTTATTTTGAACACTAGACAGAAGCCAAATTATGTACCATGTTATTTGGTAATTGAAAGGGGTGCATGGTGCTTTATGCTGATCCTTTAGGTAACAGTCTGTGTGCTTTGTCCTTCCTAGTGTAAGGTGTATTAACACACTCTTGTTCCAGGATGCCTTGCTGCCCTGCAGACTTCCACACTGGCTGCTTCAGATCTTGAAGTCTTCAGCTGAATTTCTCCCTTTATTTTTTCCCCTCAGAGAACAGTTCATTTGTTTGCTGTCAGCAGTTGACATGCATGTGGCCATAATAGGCGACTGCTAAACCTGCTCACATGTCAGTGATGTAGAGGCAGGGAATGATTCTCCCAGGGGATGCATCAGTAGGTAAACTCCAGTTTAGGTGGAATAACTTCTGCAGCATGACAGAAGGTATTTCTGGATGGGGTTCAGATTTGCAGCCCAGTCAGGCTTCCAGCTGCTGCCTGGTGCTTTGCATCATGGACTGGAGCTGCATATTTTCTCTGCTGATTGTCAGAGGAGCTTAGAATACTAATTTAGACACCACCATCAGAGATACTGAGTGTAGGTGATGGGAATATATCCTCTTTTGTATTGCCCAACTTAGTGAAGGGTGACCTGTCTCACTGGGGAAGCCTAATGCAAAGTGTGTTTTCAGCTGGCCTGAGATTCACCCCAAATTTCTTTGTGCATACATATCTCTGACCATTCATTTCGAGTAGGCACATAGTGAATTCTCAGGTAGGTCTTGATGCACAGAGCCTGAATTTTTAATTTGAGCACATTAACCTCAGAGACTTCTTTTTGCAATGCTTGTTTGACTTCTGGCAGTATTCTGTTACCCTCTGCATTTAATTGTCAGCTGAGCACAGCTGTTGAGCACAGCCTTGAATAACATAAATCAAGCCACAGAAATGATGCAGCAAAGACTAAAGATAATCATTATGTACATGCCTCCAAAATAAGAGGGTGCATGCTCTCTAAGAGTATATTTAAAATACTTTCAGAGTACTTAATGAGTACAGAAGCCTTAAGCTTTTATATTTTGTCTGTAATAACATGTGTTAAGTAATACCAGAGATTGGGTACTATAAAAGGAACTTAGATATTTTTGGAATATGCAGCTCAAAACCTGGGGCATGGACTCATTTGTGAACTCTGCTACTGCATCAATAATCTGAGATAGAGGGAGAGGGTCAGGACTTACACTTTCACAGCAGTTTGATTCCCTTCACCTGTATCAGAGCCCTCACCCTGGATATTTTGTATGCAGCAAACAGCTTGGTAAAAGCTTTTATAGCTTTGTTATATGGTTGCTGGTAGCTTAATAAAAAAACTCCAGGAGTTCCCTCTCACAAAAGTAGCTGTGAAATTGCTATGGGGTTTTACATGGTATTTTAAGGATGTTTTCAGAAGCGTTTCCATCCGCATGAGAGATTGTTGGCTTTTCTAGTATTTTTCAAGTTGTCATTTGGCTTTTCTATTATTTTTCAAGTTGTCATTTGGCTTTAGAAATGCACAATTAGTTGCGTCTTAAAGTCACTTGGAGTCCAGTTTTTGGCAGCTGTGATGCACATGTGTTATAATTAGATTCAGTAAAAAAATATTCCTGGGCTTAGGGTTTCTTCAAGTAATTGTGAAATTGAAATGCTGTCTAGACCCACACCATTTTAAGAATAATAGGAGAGACTAGTGCTGTCATAAGAGCTGTGAACTGGGATCACCTGGGTAAGACCTAGATACTATTTTCTGAAGGAAAAAGGAAGGCAGCAGACTACATAAACATGATAAACATCCTGCTCAAGCAAACTGTGTTTAGTGAACTTCTGTGCGTGTGTCATAGGAAAAAGGCCTTTGTCCCTACAGTCTGATGTGCATGTGGGAGTGGGAGTGTGGGTTCTGAACACCAGAATTCTGGCCTGGACTATGTGAGCAGTTTTGCTGTATATGGGAGAGAGGGAGACTGAATGGGATGGATGGGAAACAACCACCTGCTACTGTGTGCAGAGCTCACACTGTTACAGAATCATCCATGTTGCCTCTCCTTTTCACATGTTACTGTATGCTTCAATTTCTGTCTATATAGAACTTTATTTTGGTGGATCTCTGAAGTTTTTGTTTAGGGTGACTGCATGGGACGTTTTTTTCCCACTATTTCCTTCATAGGGCTTGACTGCAGCTTTGTCAATATTTTTGGGGGACAAAACCCCTCACCTTTTTAGATGTTGCCTAGCAGTGTAATTTTGGAGGAAAAAAAAACACATATCACATCAATTTCTGTAAATTTCTAACAGCATAATGTCTCCATACCTGGGCGGAAATCTTCAACTTATACAGCTCAGCTGAATGCATTGCACCCTGACACCAAATACCAGCTCAGGGTGCGCTGCTCAGCTGCTGACCACTTCTGGAGGTGGAGTGACTGGAGCAGGGGGGTGGAGCAGACAACATCAGAAGCCCGTAAGTTCATCTAAACTCTTGATGATAAAATGTTGAACTTGTGAAGATACATATTTTAAAATTAGTCATCCAAATAAACCTAACTTTTCAATAGATGGTAAATTGTCTACTGCGCTACTGGGGAAAAAAACCTGCCACTCTTATTTTTTTATTTAGCTCCTGCAAGAGGACCAGATATCTGGAGAGAGAGAAGTCCTTCTGGTGAAAGCCTAATAGTCTTCTGGAAGGTAGATAGTTTTTTGTACAGTTACATTATGTAATATTTTATGTGTCCTATTTACTTTTATACATTTTTAAACATATATAAATGTTTATAAATTAGTGAAGTTTATAGTCAATAAACCAGACTGCTTTTCTTAACTTTTTATAAAACCATCCATTGAGACAAATATTTTTCCCCAAATAAGAATGTTATTAAAGTTTTATAATTTAAACATTGCTTTGAGAAGCATTTCACATGAAAAATTAAATGTTTTATACATCTCAGCTGAAGATTAAAAACTTAGGAATTTACATGTTAATTCTCAAAGTCACTTGAGTTACTTTTTTGCTTTATAATCTTACACAGTCATCAGACTAGATCAGGAACAGTAAATTTATATTATCCTATAATATAATAGGATATCCTATTGTAAAATATAGTAATATATATATATAATAAAATATCCTATAATATAATATTATCCTATAATAGAATGTCTTCTGTATATTGTATTTTGGTTTTAATGCATTCTTTGTCTGTTTGTAGCCCTTATCCGTTTCTGAAGCCAATGGAAAAATAGTTTCTCATGAAGTGTCCTGCTACCTGCTAGAGACACTACTGGAGCATAAAGTAGTCTCTGAACCCTCAAACAGTACCGAGATAAAACTTGGAAAAAGTGATTGTGTAATTAGCGTTGTAGCCAGAAACCATGCGGGCTCATCTCCCCCTTCAAGGATAACAAGCGTGGAACTTCCAAGTGGTGAGTGCTCCCAGCTGAGAGTTAAACACCTTCAAAGCTTGGGGAATATCTAGGAGAGTTTGTTTATTGAAAAATAATGATTTTTTTTTGTGCATTTATTTTCCCACACAAATCTGCTGGGCAGGGGGAAAAATGCAGCTTTGCTTTTGGAGTAGTGTCTCACCAATTAATTGTGCTCTTTACATAAAGTAGAAATGATAATGTGCAGTCTTACAGCTATTTGCGCTTTTCAAAAGCATTGGTGTGGATCCCTGATATTTTAGGAGCTCAGTGTATTTCTGGGTTTTCTTGTTGAGACACTGAGAAGTGTTACATGCTAAAGAGATTGAGAAGTTTTGGAGCTGTTGCGTGGCTTTTTAAGGCAAGAATTGTCACTTCAATGCCTGTGAGCTCTGTAGGAGAATATTAATTGGACTAGTTGTTTGTCACACTACAACAGTTGTTGAAGTGTTGGCATCCTTGTGCTAGGGAGCCAGTATTTGAAAAGGAGGTAGGACTTTAGCTTCCCAATTAAAACACTGCTACTCTTGCTGAGGGCTTTGTAAAGGGAAATAGCTGAGCCAGATAATGATTTTCTGTTCTTAACACTGAGCTTGGAGAGTAGATAATATTGCAAAGCAGTTATTGAGAGTCCACACTTCCCTGCACACCAGACAGTATAATCTCCCAAAGCCCAAACCTTTAGCTCCAGATCTGATGCTCTGCAGGGAGGACAGACTCACACAGCAAGGCCTGTCTCCGCTTGTTTGCCAGGAACATTCATGGATCTGCTTCTCCTTGCCCACGTGGAGAGCAGGTGTCACAGTTGGTTAACATGTGGCAACTCAGGTTCTGCTAAGACATGGCCATCTCTCATAGGCATAAATGTGTTCTGGCTGAGATTCAGTGAAATGAAAAAACAAGTTTGCTTCTGTGTGAAGGAAAACCATGTGAAATACAATGTTTCTTATGCTTCTCCAAAACAAAGAATCACAGAATAGGTCCAGTTGGAAGGGCCCACAGTCCAACCTCCTCACCCAAGCAGGGCCATCCCAAAGCACATGGCACAGGATTGGGTCCAGATGGTGCTTGGGTATCTCCAATAAGGCAGACTCCACAACCTCTCTGGGCAATCTGTCCCAGTGCTTGGTCCAGGAAAGTTCTTCCTTATGTTCATGTTCCTGTGTTCAGTTTCTGTCCTATTGCTTGGCACTTCTGAGCAGAGCCTGGTCCCTCCTCTGACCCCTCCCTGCAGGCTTTGACAGACACTGATTAGGTTCCCCTCTCAGCTGGCTCTTCTTGAGGCTGAACATGCCCAGCTCCTTCATCCTGTCCTCTTAAGAGAGATGCTCCAGTCCCTTAAGCATCTTTGTTGCCCTCCACTGGACCCATGGCAGGAACTCCATGTCTCTTTTGTCCTGAGGAGCCCAGAACTGAGCACAGCACTGATGCTAATACCTAGTAGTATATTCTTAGTCTGCCCATTGGAGAGAAAAGTAACTATATGGGACAGTTGATTTGAAATGCTTTTATAGCTCTCCTTCAGCAGAGAAAGCGTCAGGCTCTGGGAGTCAGAGAGGCCTCTGTAATAGGTTTGTGGTGTGGGATGACTGATGGCAGCTAGAGCTCTAGAGCTTTGCATTCATGTATAGCTTTTTCTTAGAAGTCTGAGGTTCCCTTTGGTGTTACCCAACTTGTACTCATTAAAGATTTGCTCCCGAGTTGGTATAGGAATTGAGTCACTGACTGGAGTCATACAAGATGACTCATTCAAAGAACTGGATGACATTTTTGCCCAGACATCTTTTCTGGCTGCTTCCTGTGTGCAGTCTGTAAGTGCTTTTAATGTCAATAAGGGAGCAGAGGGTCTGAAGCTGGAGTTTCTGAAAACTGAAAACACAAACACAGGATACACTGCCATAATTTATTTGTCACTGTCTCTGAACAGTGCTCTGTAGAGAGTTGGGGGCATATAATCTGGCTGATCTAGGCTTCCCTACCACAGTAGTGCTCTGCTGCTAGTAGTTATTTGCTCTTCTAGTCTAGGTTGCAGCTATAAATACACCAAAATGAGCAGTACTGCCCATGGTGAATTTCTAGTCGTCTAGCTCAGAAATTAAGGTGGAGTGTGGTATATTTTTAAATGGTTTTTAGACAGTATGTGATTACTGTCAGTAAAAAACTCTTTTCTGTAAATGGAAAAATTAAAGTCTGCTAATTAGAAATGTGATCTTTTCCAGCATCATAGAAATGTAGTTTCACTGGATGCATAGTAGTTTTTCTGGGGAAAGTATCAAGGCCCTTGTGGAGTTGATTTGCTTTTATTACTCATGTGTCTTTTTCTCGCCATGAGCAAGTTACAAAACAGTTGTACACTTAACTTTATGCTAAGATTATTTAGAAATAGACAGTCCTTTGACATTTGCAGCACATCTGTGTGAGTAAAGTTTTCATAGCACTAATTCTTAAAAACTGTCCTTGCCCTTCAGCCTTCCATGGTTTATAGCTTTAATAAAATTAAATAATCGACTCAATGGGGAGCATAAATGAGAACACTGAAAAAGGAAAACTGAAACCCTGAGATTGTTTTTGCAGATCTGTCATGGGGCCACCCCTTTTGTGGTGGCTTTTGGAAACCATCCCTTAGCTCTGCAGGGTCCCATGTGATGGACACAGCCATGGAAGGCAGCTGCAGGAATCGGAAGCTGTTCCCAGATCTGATCACTTCACAAGAACAGCTAAACTTTTGATAATCAGAAACAAGAAATATAGACTAAAGGCAATGCTTTTTTTTTTTTTCTTGTAAAATTTACCCCTGGTAGACTGAAGCCTCCATAAAGTTCACCAGGGACATGATTATTGCTGTTGATTCTTCATGAAAAATGGTTGTCTGTGGTTGGGCGAGTGACAGCAAGACACTTTGAAAGAAACACAAAGCAAACCATTTGATGAAATGACAGCAGGAATTTATAGCTGGAGGCTCCTGCCAGATTGGTTTCAATTCATATTTGAACCTGACATCTGCTGTAAATCCTTACCTTGAAAAAGTGCTTTTTAAGCCAGTCCTGAGCTGCTGCATTTCTCTTCATCGTACTTAAGGCTGGCTGAGGGATTTGCTGCAGGCTATGTCTGATTTTAAGCACTCTAAGCTCAGCTGAGTGCACTGCTTCGAAATCTCAGTTCATCCGTGCCTCTCATTCCTAGAAATGACGGCCCCTAGAAATGACTGCTGTTTGTAAAGCCATTGTGCTGTGGCTGGAAGGCTTTCTTTCATCTTTGGCTGTAGATAAGTGTCTGTTCTTTGATGGATTTTTGTGTCATCTTTGTTGCAGACAATGTCACAACAGATCAGGCCGTGGCAATGGGAAATGGTATTAATATTTCTTGGGATTCTTACCCCAACATGACATGTGGCTACATAGTAAAATGGTGTCATTCATCTGAGTCTGAACCCTGTAGTATGGACTGGCAGAAATTTCCTTCAAATACAACAAATGCAGTGATAAAATCTGGTAAGTCAGAATACTTTCTTGTGAGTCTTTCTGGTTGAGATCCTGAGCAACAAGTGGAATGAGAGCAGCATGAAGCTATAGGTTGCAGATTGTTTGATTGCTGTGTATTTGTGTAAATAAAGGAATTTCTTCTTGGTACTGTGTTTATTTTAATTTCTTACACAGTCTTGCCAAATCCAAATATCAGTCTTGACTTAACTTTTATCATCCTGTGTTTATTAACTGTTTTGAAATTACCTCTTGTAGCTGTACGCCACAATTTCCTAACTCAGCCTAATGCATGGTGGTTAATCTAGAGTTAGGGGTTTTATTTGGATTCTAAGCATAAACAGTGCTGCTCAGGATGGGAGAAGACTAATCTGTTGTTTTTACATGAGGCAGATTTTTTTTAAGTGTGACCTCCATGTGTTGGCTTGCTGTCAACTATTGAAATTTCCTGGAACAGGGCACATTCCAGGTCTTTAGATCCTGGTGGGCAGATCAGGGAAATGAAATTCAGCTGTGGTGGGACTAGTAGCAGCAGAAGAGGAAAGCGAGAACACATTAAAGATGTGGAATTTTTTTCTCTGCTTTCTATAAGGGTATATATTAGCCTTTTAGAAGAATTTAGTAATAAAGTCTCCATTCAAGGAAACAACTTGGAGCTGTGTACATAGGAATGTTGGGGGGGAATGAGACCTGGAAGAATGGGGGCAATATGTTTTTCTGTCTGTAATTACAACACTATGTCCATGTTGTTTCTGTTTGTGCTAGCTAGAGATTTTTTTTTTTTTTAAGCAGACAATACTGTGTCTGTCCAATGATGCACTGCTTTTACTCCTGAGCTCTTCACTGGGATGGTTCTTGCAGCATGTGACTCTTTTATGAGTTGTCCAGCTGCTAGGGCTGGGCTCAAGCTGGCAAATCCACCTCTGCTCTTAGTCCTGCTAGGAGAATCCCTCAGGCTGGACCTGAACTCTTGCAAAGCCCAGTTGACTTCTGTGTAGTTTCACTGTGGTATCTGTTTAGAAAAAATCTTGAAAGCAGTGTACAGTCCTGACTTGACAAAGTCCCAGAAAGTGGTAAATTATTGACACATTACAGCATCAAAAATATCTATGCTTCCACCAAAGACGTGTGAAGCATAGATTTGATGACTACCTGTGTTTTTTAAAGTCAGTTCAGGACTGAAGTTCATTGCTAAATTGTTTCACTGTCACTTCTGGGTGTTTTCTGCATATCTTTTGTACTGTTGCTCCAGTAAGCCTAGTTATTTCAAAATGCATTTGTATTTCTGAGGAGGCAGGATCTACATGGCTGATGTGGGAGGAAAGGAAGGGGATTATTTCTGGTAACTTCAATTTGTGTTTCCCCATGGAAAGGGCAATTTATGCAATTTGAGTAGCTTGTTTTGAATCCTCTTTGTTTAGTACTAAACTTTCTCTGGGAGCTAGATTTGGTTACCGCTTCTAAACCACATCTGATGGCATAGCTTTTGTAGAAATTACAAGTAGGAATGGTATTTATACCATTATACTTTGTAATTTTTTAATATGTATTTGTATATCTGCATCATGTGAAATGTACAAGCATCATTTTTCTGAAGTGAAATATTCTTACATCAATTTTCTCTTGCAGCTCTGTTCAAACCTGGCGTGAGATACAACTTTTCTCTGTATGGCTGCAAATCCATGGGATATCAGTTGTTGAAAAACATAACTGGGTATATGAAAGAGCTGCGTGAGTGCACTTTTATCATTCAGGATCTCTGCAAAGTGAACTTAGTCTTTGTCTATTTTTTAGCTCGGTGTTGGCAAAAGACTGAGATCAGAATCTCCATGCAGTACTACTTACTCCTGTTTGTTCTCTGTATATAACTGTAACGCATTTCTCCAGCCACTTCCAGTTCCAAGCATATGCAATAACACTTTGTTCTCCAGCTTGTGTGGTGGCACAGAGTGTCACAGCAATTCACAGCCGTAATTTGAACCACATGGCTGTGGTCCCCTCTACACAAGAGGAGGCAACTTTTTTTGATTCATCAAGTCCAAGTAAACTTTGAAGCACATTTAGTGCAGCTCAGCAATTGTAAAATTATCCATAACATTTCTGTGTTAAAATGAAAACACTTTGTTTGTAGATCCAAACTAGATCCTAGAGCACAACTACTTTGAGAATTGCAGTTGTATTCTGTCCCACACCAACCCTGTTTGGGTAACTGGGGTTTGACCCAGTGCTGAGCTTTGCTGGCCTGAAGATGCATTAATGTCTGTGAACAGAATGCTTTCTGTTCCCAGGTGTCTGGACATGACTTTACCCTTTAACACCACAGCTGCATTGTGTTGTATTGTATTGTAACTACAGCACCCATTTCACTTTGAAGTTTACTGTGTTTTTTGCTAAAATAGTTTGCCTAGAAACTGCTGACATAGAGTCCTGGGAAATGGTGTTGTTTATTTCATTGCTAAGGTTGAAGGTGAGGTTAAGGCAATTTTGTCAGAAACTCAATTTTCAGCCATTTGTATTTCTGCAAAAATTCTGAAAGGTTTCCCAGAAGAGTTTTCCATGTGTGTTATTAACAGATCAGACAGAAGCTTTCAAAATACAAAGACTTTGAGGGACTAAAAATGCATTGAATGTGTAGAAGAAACTTATTAGGAACTGAGGAATGCACAAGAGCATAGATTCATTCTCAAACATTAGCTTTGCCTTTGGACAGACAACCGTCAAGAGAAAAATGGATGCATTCTTAAACATGAGTTCAGCTGTGCTGGATCAAAGCCAAAGGCCTGACATTGTACATGGCAGTATGCATTATCTGCTATAACACTTTCAGTAGGCTTCAGGTATTGGAATAAGGACTTGTATAAACTGCTATAAGTAGTTCTTTCAAGCTGAGATGGTAAAATTGTGGAGTTTTTTTAGTTTTAAGACAGGCTATGAAGTCACAGAATTAAAGCCTGTAAAAGCTAATATGTATCCTCTGAATGTTTATACAATCTTTTGGGGTTTATTGCAGGAAGAAGGGTATTTACATTTATGGGTCTGTAAGACAGCTGACCAAAGAGAAATTTTTCTTCTAGCACCTCTTAGTAGCTAACACTGCAGCAATTATTAACAATTAGTCCAATATAGCTATATTTTTATAGACTCCTGCTGTCTTTCACACATACTTTATGGTGAGAAGTCTTTAGGAAAAGGTTGGAAAATGCTAGTTCCAAAATAAAACTCATTAAATACTTGCATGGTTTCAGCATTTTATGATAAGGTAATTTCTTACTGTTTTCTTCCTTCATAATTCTCCCTACAGCTCCAAAAACTGCACCAAATTTTATTGTTGAAGAAACTTCTTCAGATTCTATATTGGTAAAATGGGAAGACATTCCTATTGAAGAATGCCGAGGATTTCTAAAAGGATATCTTCTTTCCTTTGCAAAAGGTGAAAAAGATGCTTTAAAGCCTAGACTTTCAGAATCAGGTAAGTTAATTGTGTAGATTGCAACTTCCTTTCTTACATATTTTCTTTTTATTTTTCAATAATTTAATTTCACTTTAATAAAAAAAGATGCTTTAATAATAATTCAGTTGCATTACTCACTGTTATAATTTGGTCCTGATTTAAAATGCCTTCGTGTGATCACCCCAGTTGTTTTTAATATAAAGCAAAAGTTGGAGAAAACTGTCTCTCTGAGGCCATAAAGTAATGCAGTGACTAAGTGGCAATGTGTCATGCTGTCCTGTGCTCAAATACCCTGGGTAGATGAGGTGGGGAGGTTACATGGCTATATTTAATAGGGTATATTCTGCCAGTGCCTGTCCTGTCAGGACTGAAGCCTGACTCACATTTGTAAGAGGACATGCAGGAGGCTAAGGAAATTTAGTAAATCTGCAGCAGCAGCACCACACTGCTGTGCTGTTTGGTGCTGTGTAAGCAAGCAGCATTGCTAGGGTCCTTTATTTCAGTTTTTCTTTACACGGACTGTTCTTCTGGTTTCATCTGCTCACTTCAAGACAGTTTGCTAAAACTGAGGTTGTCTTTTTGAATCCTTTCTTACGAAGTTATGCTTTTCTTACTGCTCCCAAACAAACAGGGAATCCAGAACTTAAAGTTAACAATATCACTGACTTAACAAAGAAGTCTATGAAAATACTTGATCTTCAAGGCAAAACGAGTTACCAGCTGGAACTGCAAGCCTATACTGCTGGTGGGTTGAGCCCTCCAAACAGCCTCTATGTGGTGACAAAGGAAGACTGTAAGTTATAACCTGTTCAGACATATCCCTGTCTTTAGCACAGGAGCTGTATGATGTATATAATGCTGAGCTTATTTTCTTGTTTTGTGCATTTTTTTCTGTTCCTGTAGGTGGTTTGGGCCTACAGTCTAATTTTTACCTTTATTTAATTGGTTATTTATAAATACAAAAATACAGTTTAGAGTGAGGGAAAGATTCTTTTCTATTACAGCTACTTTGTAGTTCGTGGTATTTTATGCATAAAAAATAACTTCTAACCTACTACTAAATATAGTGGAGTCCGAGCTTAGTTTTCTCAAATAGCCAGCTGTTTTTGTAAGGTTTCCTTCCTATGATGAATGTCTGCTAATACATGGTGGGAAGAAAGACATTGTGGAAATATTTATCAGTTTCAGAGTTGTAAACAGATGCTTCTCGACTTTGCATTCAGTTTTATTGATCCCTTGACAGATGCAAGCACAGAAAGACAGTTATAAAAAAGTGATCTGCTTTGGACAATGAGAGAAAAAAAGTGTCTCCTATGAAGGACTAAACACTGGGGTTCAACTAAAATACAAGAAAATCAAGCTTGAGGCATTTAATATCAATGGAAGAAGGTAGTGGAGATCTATTTGAGCTAAAGCCCAGGGATTGGAAGCATTGTAAAACATAAAAAAGACAATGCTGTTTATACAATTAGTTGTTGGCCTAGAGGAGCCATTACCAGAAACTTGGCCAGCTCAGGTGGCATGAAAGTGCAATGCCAGTGCATTAGTGAGAACAGAATCACCATACCAATGAGTCTTGTGCTGCACATGAAGCCTTCTGTAATTAAACAATCAGAGAGATAATCTGCTGATTCCTGTAGTTATCACTGAATCTGTGAATTCCAGCAAAGGGGAAGGGTGATAGGTGTAGGTCATTGTTTGCAGACCACTGCACTAGCTGAGTTTAATGGAATGGTCTTTAAATGGGGGGAATATTAGAAAAGGCATAAAACTTACTGGTAACATTGGATCTATTACTGTCTTCTTTTTTTCTTTTCTGCCAGCTGTAGGATTAATCATTGCAATTCTCATCCCCGTTGCGGTGGTGCTGCTGCTTGGAGTGTTGGCCAGCATCTTCTGCTACCAAAAGAGGGAATGGTAAATGCCTTTCTCTGGTTCTCATCTCTCCTGGAAGTGTTTGCTTCAGTGCTAGGGTTTTCCATTATTTTAGTTACTCCCTGTTTTCTCTATATACCCAAAGAAGTTAATGGGCTTTGTTCAAAGGTGGGTGGCAAAAACACCATGTGGAAGATGAGGGAGAAACTGAGCTGGAGAGAGGTCAGAGGGAGGAATGCAAAAAGTTTTTGCAGGAGCCTGTCTTCCAGTGAGCACCGTTTATAAACAGTTCCCAAATGGAAATAAGCTGGCGACATACTGCAATTTGTGCGCCCTCTACAAACAAAGATGGACATACCATCTTCAACTTTTAGTAAATGTGGCATATTAAATTCCCAACTTAAAAAAGGAAAAAGGTTGCTGTTTTTTCCATTATACTCAGTGAAAGTTCAACACACTAAATCTTTGCACCAGATGTCTTCAGTATTCTGAGTTAAAGGGAAGTGTCTTGACTCCTTTTGTGTATTCACAATCTGTTTCAGGCCTTGCTGTCTTTATAATAATTTATTCTTTTGTCTTTAAAGGATTAAAGAAACATTTTATCCAGAAATCCCGAATCCTGAGAACAGTAAGGCACTGCAGTTCCAGAGGAACATCTGTGAGGTAACCCTTACTTTAAATCTAGTATTTTAAGCTTCTGAAAGATAAAACCAGTTAAAGAATTCTTTTGCAAACTTTGACTCATCTGTTCCAATTGTAGAAAAAAACTCTGTGGCAGAGGGAAGCAATCCAATTTACTGAGTAACTTCTGTCAGGTGCTATCTAGAGCTTTGTTGTTGTTAATGTAGTTATTTGCAATGTTTGAACTAGGAAAGGACTGTTGCATTTCTCTTCTTCCAGCTAATGAGAAGTGTCAGTACCTGATAAGAATACACACCCATCTTTGTCAAAGTGTTAAAGGAAGCAGGAAGTATGGAGATCTGCCATATCCCATTATCCTGGTAGATACATTAGTTGGAGATGGGCATAATATTTAAACAGCCTTTGGGAATGGGTTGTAGAAAGATTTGGAGATTTGGAGAAAGTTCTCAAACACTTACTGCAGTCTCTTTAATTTGCATAAAATACTTCAAACATTAACAGGAATGTGAGCCAGAAAATGATAAACACCTTTTTTTTTTTTTAATGCATTGTACTAGTGTCCATGGGATGAGTACAATCCACAAGCCACCAAACTGCTGTAATTTTGGCAACTTGGTGCTTTCAGGTTTTCCAGATCTTTTAGCTTAGTGTCTCCCCCTTCTCGTTTTTCTCGTTTCAGGGGAATAAGACACTTAAAACACTGGAAATGAACCCCTGCACTCCTAACAGTGTTGAAGTGGTGGAAGCACAGTCTACAGCTCCAAAGATTGAAGACACAGAGATGATGTCCCCAGCAGCAGAGACCACTGTGCCTGAAGATGGCTCTGACTCAGAAATGGAAAACCACGTTGTTGTCTCCTACTGTCCCCCTATCATTGAAGAGGAGATCACAAATCCCCCTACAGATGAGCCTGGGGGGTCATCTCAGGTGGTTTACATTGACATCCAGTCAATGTACCAGCCTCAAATTAAACCAGAGGAGGAGCCAGAAATAGACTTAGTGACTACAGCAGGCTATAAGCCACAAATGCAACTCTCTATCAGTGCTCTGAAAATAGAGGGTCATTCACCTGTGGAGGAAGAATTGGATAAAAGTGCAGGTTACAGACCTCAAGCAAACACAAATGCGTGGAACGTGGGCACTCCAGACTCTCCTGGATCAGTTGAAAGCAACAATGAAAATGCATCTTTTGGGAGTCCATGTTCAATTAATTCCCGACAGTTTCTGCTTCCCCCAAAAGACGATGAAGACTCTCCTAAACCCATTAACACAGGGTGGTCCTTCACACACTTTTTTCAGAACAAACCAAATGATTAACAGTGAGTCCTCATTGCACATGAACCTGCCTTCTGAATAAGCTTTTATTCCTGATATTATAAAGAAAGGAAGAAGAAAACTGCAAAAGGCATGAATTATTCTTGGAGACAGTCAGCAGAAGTTCTAGTGAGCTGAATGTTACCATGTTACCATTTTTAATTTAGTCAAAGTGTTAATATTCCATTGTAATAGAGGCTGAGAGGCCAAAATTATAGCAATTTACTTATTACTCTAGTAAAATATATTGGATGTAAGGGGTTTTGAATTTACAGCCTCTGATAATTAAAATCAAAGAACTCTGCCTACCTTCACACAATGCTCCAAGATAAAAGTGGTCTCATGAAATTTATAACTTGGAAAGATTGCTTTGCTTTGTTGTAGTTGTTCTCAACCATGCAGACTCAAATGATGCAGCACCAACAGATTTCCTTACTGAAGGTTAAATTTATAGCAAATTCAGCCTAAGACACAGAAACAATGCAGTTGGAAACTGTTGAGATCTTTTACCTAGTTATAAACAAAGAACAAATGAGAGTGCTGGTTTTTTTCTTCTCCTGTATGGAAGGTTATTGTCACTGTTTAACACTTAAAAAGCAATGGCCATTCACATCTGTTGCTTTTTGACTAGACACTAATTTCTGTACCTACTGTACAATGTTTATTAAATATTTGACTCAGGGGTACAAACTTGGGGAAAAGAAGTGTAACACTGATTGAAACCTCAACAAGAACTGCATAAAGTTTAAAACTTCCTTTAAAAAAAACCAACTTAGAATGCTCTATATTTTTTCTATCTTTTGGTTAAAGAGTTAATCTTTCCTAATGTATTGCACTAATACATTTTGTATTTCATAGCTTCTGCTCCAGATCTCCTGCTTTGAAGTGGTACAGTAGTCCATTCACCCTCAGTGTTCAGCAGTCTTTGCACTATGCAGTAATGTAAGCCATGGGGAAATCTCTGTCTACTCACCTTAGCTGCTGAAGCAGTTTGGCACATGAAATTAGAGGTAGTAGGACTAGGTCCTTGAGGAGAAATTGCTTTTTGGATGGTCTTTATTGTATTAGCTTTGTATTACCTGCTGCCTGGCTGATCTTTGATCTTAACACGTCAACCCAACAGGACCTTCTGTACAAATCCTACCTGGCAGTACAAGGTAGGATTTCTCTGGTGGCAGGGAGAAACCCAGGGAGGTTTTAGTGCCACTAATTCTACCTCTCCTTTACCAGATATGTGATGCAAAGAAAGCTTAAATTATGTACATTTTGTGCTTAAAGGAATGTTTAGTACAATCATCTTTTAAAATGCTTGTTTTCCCATGTGCATCTCTAGACAACTGTAACCGTAACATTTCATGGTGTAAATTTCAGGCTGTGGCATACATGAATTTCACTAGCTTACAGGAGAAACTTTTGAGAAATTTACCTGTTTCTTGCTGTAAAACAGTGGGGAGACATCAGATGTTAAAAGTTTGATCAAAAAGGGTCTCCATGAAGTTCTAACCAAATTTTATTTTAATCTCCATTTCCTTAGCTACTGTGTTTTGTTTGGAGTTTGGATTGTCGTTTGGTTTTGGGTTTTGGGGTTTTTTTTAATAAATAAGACATGGGAATGGTTTTCTAAACAAAACAGATAAGGAGCCTGAATTGCCTAGGCTGCTGCTAGTCGTAAAGGTGTGAGAGTAGACCAGGATGATGATTTGACAGACATTTGATCTCCAAACCACATGATCTGGCCATCAAAATAAAACCAAGAATAAGGTAAAACCTAATCACAGCAATGGGTCTTCAGTTTCAGAGGCTGGCATGTCTCTGCCATCTCCATAGAATGAAATATAGAGGTGTTTCAAAACTGACAAAAAGGCAAGGCACTAAATAGTTACCGTAATACCTATTACAATCCTGTGTGTGCCTCCCAGTAGAGTGAACTGTGAAGTAGTGAAAAACAGGTTAGTCTGCAGGTCTGGCAGAGTGCAGGGTGTCTCTGAAAGGACAGAAAGTGCACATAGGATTCATCTGTTGAGTCTTTGAGTTAGCAGGGCTGCACGTGAATAGACTGGCAGTGAAAAGAGCTGAGGTCCATTTGTGACCAAGCATCAGCACAAGGGAAGTGTCATAGCCTGTAACTTAGAACATTAAACTAACACATGAAAGGAAGCAGTTATGCCCTTTGTGATTGATAGCTGGGAGGAGGCTAAATCCTAATAGTAACAACTGGTTTTCATAATTATTCTTTTTAGAGTATTTCTTTTCACTAGTGTAGATTTGGCATAATGTCTCCATCTCCTAAGATGAATTTTAGCTTTTGCTGCTATATGCTTTTAATTGAAAGCAGATGATGTCATGGACAGTGTGTATGGGTAGTGGTTAAGGGTATTTTTTTATAGAGCAGATTCTCAGTACAGAGGAGCAATCAGTATTGTATGGTGATACAACTGAAAAAAACCCCTCTGTAGCAGAACAGCTGACCATGAAGAATAACTGTGCTTTTCATATGGCTGTGTATTGCAAGAAACAAAATCAAACTGCAGTTTGAGAGTACTAGCAATTTTTAATTTGGAGACTGGAAATCAAGGCAGCTGCAGAGAACACACAGAGCTCTCACAGGAAGCAGTTTAGGACCATTCTCAGTGTTCTCATGGTGAATCACTTACACATAAGCATCACATACTCAGGTTTCCCAGTGTGCTGCTTCTGCTATTCAGTAAAAACAACAACATTTTAAATTGCTTCATTTCTTAGTGATTAGGTAAGGAAAAGCTCCACAAATGCGTGTCCTGCCTCAATATTGATGTTATAAACTCTCTCTGACCTAGTTATTTCCTTTTTTTTTTTAATTCTTGACTATATACCTGGTCTTCTGACTTCCAGGATGCAGGTCAGAAGGGTCCTTTAACAGCAATGCCTTCAATGAGAAGAGTGGGAGAGTGGGGCAGATGTGGGAGAGACACAAGCTTGAGCAGTATCTGTAGCATCATTGTTGCTTAATGCTGATGAGCCAGTGAGCAGTTGTCATTCCAGCACTTGAAAGCTCAGCTGCTTCACCTCTGTGTTTTCCTTTGAGCCCCTTCAGTGCTGCCTTTCGAATGCCTATCTCAGATCTTCAGCAGTGAATTCAGATGCATAGGGAGAGGTGGTCTGCTGATGTGATCAGGCACCCCTAGGTACATGGAGCAGTAGGGATGAACGACCAGGACAGTCAGGGAACAGACTTGCTTTCTGAGCCCAAGTGCCATGTTAAACCAGTGAAGCATCTTTAGGAATGTCTTTGAACCAAATACTCTTTCAAAGCATGGTGCTCTCTCATAGCCTCTAAGTGCTTTGATAACAGTTGTAAGTTTCAGAGGGGATCAGATTCTTTGTACTAGTGCCTTCTAGCTTCCTGATGAGCCTCTTCGGACAAGTTTTTTTTCTGAAAAATATCTTAGGAATCCTAAAGTTTAAACAGCATTTCCTTACCAGCCTTTTGTGAAAAAATCTTATCCTTTATTGAACATTTGTTTTTAGTTATGTTGGCTTTTTCCTTCATTTTTTTTAGAAGAGTAGAAAGTGCAGCTTTGAAAAAAAATTAAAAGAACCAAACAAAAAGCAAAACCCAACAACTTCCAGAAGGGATATCACCAGAAGGGATTGTGTCATGCCTAACTCCAGGATCATTGTACAGAGATGTAGGGTATTAATGCCAAGCAGTTGCTTTCTGAAGAAAGTTGTCGATTCTGCTGCTTTTTATTTTTGAGCCATGCCTGTCATATGTGACAATTTAAGTTTTGTAGTGGGTTTTTGTACTGTTCACTGTACGTGTGGAACATCAGTCACATTTGATGTATCATTGTGCACTCTCTATTTGACACATTGATTATTTTTGGTTTTTTTACATATACGAGATGTGGAATCTCAAGCTTGTGTTAGATTTTGGGATGGTAGATCTGCATGTGATATACCTCACAGAACTACTAGTTAATATATCAACAAAATAGTAAGCTAATATTACAGGCAGGCAGTGAATTACCTCCCCTGCTGTGCAGTGGCTGTATAGGCAGATACAGATCCTGATAACTGACATTTGCTGTCTTTATTATCTCTAGTTGCTGCTTTCTTGGGTAAACCATTTCCAAAGGGAGCCAGTCGCTGTGTTGTCTTGGCACAATTGGCAAATGCGCTGCATTTCTTCATCTTTGTTTGTGTGGGGGACCAGAACTTTACTTTGCTAGGAATGTGGCAGCAGCACACTCCTGCTGGCCTTGAGCTTCAGCCTGCTCTGAAGATGTATTTTCAAGTCACCTTTTTATGTTGTTGTTGATAGGTTCAGCTGGGTAAAGCTTAGTGCTGGGGTGTTCCCTGTGATCATGTCCTCCAGGACACTCAGTTGAACATGAATAGGAGCAAAAATAAAAGCAATTGGGTGCACTGGAGAGAGAAGGTGATTAGACATCACTCTGAAAAGGCAATGATAAATTGTGTGCTCTGTTTTTAAATAAATACTGCTTTGTAAATAGAATACTTGTATACCTACAAGTAGATAGAAATATAGTAAAATAATTTGACTGATATTAGAAAAATGTAACATTTAGAGAATTAAATTGCTAACAAGGCTCTGTATAGCATAAATCTATGAGGAGCTTCCCATGTAAATAGCAACTTCTGTTCTGCCAGAGACTTTGATGAAGACTTCAGTGCAAATGACATTTAATATTTGTAACACTAAGTCCTAACCCTTTATGCACACATGTGCTTGCATCATCATGTGCCTAGGTGCATATGGCAGAGAAAGTAGGCTTACAGCTGCCAAAGTGATTTTTTTGGAGTCCTGTACATGAATATATACCTTCTGAGACAGTTTTGTCTAGAGGAAGCACCTGCTGCCTTGTGCTCCTCCCAACACACTTTGCAACACTTGTGGTGCTGTGCATTATATGGTGCCCTCTGTGGATGATGCTCAAAGATGCTGTTGGCAGTTGGCAGTATTTGTTGGTTTTTTTCCCTCATCTTTTCCTTAGCCAGCCTGGAAACACAGACCCAGAGCCCAAATGCTAGACAAGGATTCAGAAGTGTTTGAATGTTTAATTCCTTTATGTTTAAGACTGTCTTAGATATTTTATTAGGAGCTGTAAAATAGATTCTTCCACCACGATTTTCTTTCCCCTCCCCCATTTATATAACTCTAGATTTTCCCCAGTGTTTCTAAGATAGCAAGTGTTTGTTTCCCTTTAGCATGTTATACAAACAAACCTCAGATAATATTTGCAGATGATATCTCTAACTTTGTACATTGTCCCAGCATGCGTGACAATACTTCTCCCCCACAAAAACATCTATTATTTCCTTCAGCTTTTACAAATGAAAAAAAAACCCTCCAGAGGACTTCTGGGTTTTGGAGGGCAGGGGCTCAGTATCCCCATGCAGGTGAGCTGGTCTAATGGCAGTGTTTCATGAGAGGATGGGGTTAATCCCTCTCCAGTCTCACCCTCTTCTTGTGACAGTACTGTCCAGGTGACTTTGTGGTGCACCAGAGCAGATGAAATCCTTGGTTTTCAGTTTGATACCTAACAACATCTCTAGGACAGTCCCAAATCTGCATTTTGACTGAAAGCAAGCTTCAGTGGAGATTTATGGACAGCTTCCACTAGAAGGCTCAATACCTTTGCAGCTCACTTGATCCCATGTTGTGCAAAAGGCCGTGAGTAAAACTAACCCAGGAACAAAGCAAAAGTGAAATTTTCATTTTTTCATTACTTGGATTAAGAAAAATTTTAAAATTCATAGCTCGAGCAGGGCAAATTAAAATAGAAAGGTCACACCCTTCAGTTGTAATACAATAAAAAATAATCTTTGAATGTCACTCTGTCAATGTTTTCTAAACGTGGTTCAAGAATGGCTTTGGAAACATTTTATGTTGTGATAGCATGTCAAAAGTTTGTAAAACTGGGGATAACAAAAAGAGAAGACAACTGAATCATGTCATATCTGAAATCCTACTTGAAGGTAACAGCAATTTAAACTTTGAGCCTTTTGTGGCACACAAAACATCAGAACTGGTGGAATCATACAGGTCACCTGAAAAAAACACACAACATTGTACTATAATGCTGTAACTTTAAACATATACTGTGAATAGGTTCAATGGTTTTTTTTAGCTCTTTTTATACCATGTTTTTTACAGCATAAATAATTTGCTTAGAGATGTTTTTATGTTCTGTTTTTATGAAGATTTTAATGGACTTTTGTTTAATACTAGTGAAAATATTGTTTGCCAATTTGACATAGTCATATATAGAAGTTAATTCTGAGAATAAATCAGTAGACTGAGCTGAAAAAATAGTCTTCATAACACACTAAATCTAATAAGTCATTCAGCATATTTTTGTTGCTGAATGATACTGAAATTTTCCAGCTTCCAAATCTGCTATTGAAAATTACTTCTTTCATGATTTTAGCAAAATCATCACAAGGCACTTTAAAGAAGCTGTAGCATGCCAAGTAAAATACTGATTCAACAAAGTGTATCAATATGAAAATTTATCTGCTAAGCAGTTAAACAAATGCATGCTTAAAAAAGGAAGCATGGGATCATGTTGGGGATATAATATTTCAGTGTGGCAGTTGACATTTAAGACTAACCTAACATTAAGATACAACTTTGCATACATTTTAAACCTAGTTTGCTTGCTTGGTGTAACTCCTGTTGTATTGCCTGGATGTCTAAAAGTAAGCATGTGTTTAACAATTTTGCCATAGTATTGCCAGGAAACTTAATAAATATATTTTCTTACACTCTTATATGTCTTCATTTTCTTTGCTTTCCTATTTCTTTTTTAAGTAAGAGTTAAATTCTGCTCATGCCCCAGTACAAAGAGAGTTATTTGAATTTTGTGCCAGAGTAAATAACCACAGGATCTAGCAAGCACAGCCTTGGCTTCCTGATAGGCAGAGTGGATAGTAACAAATACTCCCCAAGCCACTTCTCCTCAGCACAACAGATCCTACCATTTCCAAGGCCCACTGAAGCCTGGCTGTTCTTGCTGTACAATGCAGTGATAGGAAAAAGTCCAGGTCACTTACCTGTGTCCTCCTTGGCTGGTGGCTCCAGCACAGCTGGGGTTTGATACCTGATCCACCCCTGCACCCCTGGGCTGGGGGTGTGCAGACATCAGCCCCTGCAGACTCTGCACGGGGAACATCCAGGATGAAGGGCACGGTGGCAGGATGGAGGGGCCCAGGCTGTGCACTGTGGCATTGGTTTGGGTGGCATAGGACACTTTCTCAGCATGTTTAAGTGGAACTGAGATGACCAGCTAATGGTTGAGGCCATTTATGTCTTGTCATTTGGTGTCTTAGTGACAGCCAGAATTTTGTTGGCTCATCTAATCCCGAGCACCTTTACTTGGGAATGACACCTGAGCTTAGCAACGTGTGTAATGACAGGTGCTAGACCACAGCATGTCACACAAAACCATCACGGCATGGTGGCATTGTGCTCTCTCCATCTCTTTGGAGGCATCCTTGAAAGAGTCAATTCCTTGCCCCACAACAGCAGATTGATGCACCTTTATGTGACAGCAACTGGGCAGGGTGTGGGAGCTCTTCTGAGCACTGGGGAAATGTGGGATTTAGGTCTTTTAGTGGGACTGAAGAGTACTGCTCTGAAAAGACACGTAGAGCTGTTGGAATGAGGGAAGGCTTAATTGTTTCAAAAGTGAAAGGCACAGCTGCCCTCTCCAGCCCTGCTACTGCTCTGGTAGCAGGGACACCAGGGAGGAGCTCCAGACAGGTCTCACTCCACCATCTGTGTCTCAGGTCTAAAACAACTAAGAGGATGGTGGCTTTGCAATATCTTCTGCAGATATTGCACATGTTCAGATGTAGCTAATTCAATCCTTGGCAAAACCAGGTTAATCCAGTTGGGCTGTATATTTAACACAGCTCCCAGGCAGCTGGAATGAGTAGCTATGATCATCATGGAGACACACGACAGCAGCAGCAGAGGACTATGAAAGCAGGAGGTTTTTTGCAGGGTTCATGAACTGTCCCATATGTCACCATCACATTGAGAGTGGAGAGAGGGAGACAGACCATCCATGTTTTCTGGCTTGTTCCAGCACACAACCTTCTCCAGGCAGCAACTGGCAGAACAATAGGTCACAGTCTCAAGCTGCGTCAAGTGAAATATATGTTGGACATTAGGAAAAAGTTTTCCACGCAAAGAGAGTGAAAAGTACTGGAATGGCCTGCCCAGGGAGATGGTGGAGTCACCATCCCTGGATATGTTTAAAAAAAGACTAGAAATGGCACTCGGTGCTGTGGTTCAGTTGAGGTGTCAGGGAACAGGTTGGACTCAATGATCATGAGGGGCTCCCAACCTTGTGATTCTGTGATTCTTCTTTTTGACTCTCCCTGCACTGCCAGTGCTGGTTGCTCCCAGTGTGGCACTGGCTGTAGCATCAAAGTACACAGTCCCCTGCATCTGCAACTACAGAAAGCTTCTCTCAACACATAAATAAAGCTTAAATTCCCTCTGTATGAAACATTTGTTACCTATTAAAAGAAATCTGTGTTTTGGCAAGAACACTCAGTTCAAATGAAAGCTGCCTAAACTTGATGATAAATGGGTAATTCAGTTTTTGAATTCTGCTTTGCTGACACCAAAACTAAAAACTGTAGAGAAGAAAAAAAGTGGAAGCAAGTGAAATGGTAAAGAAAATATTAGATATTGCCCCTCCCATGTTTTCAAAAGACAAAAATTTAGGAAAATTCTGCCATGTTTGCAAAAAGTGATGATAAAGGCTGCCACTACTGCTAATAGAAACTATTTAAGAGTCTGCAAAACAAAAATTAGGTTGGAAAGCTACTCTTTTGTGAGACAGAACATGGGGTGTCTGTGCTCTGCAGGTCTATTTCTTCCACACTTCTCCATATATCTCAGTAACAAAAAGTGCTGGAAAACATGGCCTGTGGGGTTGGTGTTGAAAGAACTGGCACAGTTGTTTTCCTAGAAAGAAAGACTGAGGGAAGATTTAAAAAGAAAGAGCAGGGGGAGAGGAACAATGTAATCTTTGTCTTAGTGCACAATGAACAAAGAAAAATGCTGTGACAGTGAATGGATATTCAAAAGAAATCAGGGCAGTCGGTCACAGCACTGCCAGGCAGTTTCCATCACAAGGGGTTTGACAAGAGGGCACTCACAGATGAGCGAGTCCTGTCCACAGGGACAGAAAGCCAGGACCTTCCAGAGCTGCAGTGACCACAGGTGCTGGCACCAGGCTGTTATTCATGAGTGAAATGCCTAAGTGCAGAATCAAGGGCACAACATCACAGCGTCTTGTGGACCCCACAGTGCCCACAATGACTCAAACCAATGAAAAATGGAGTGGGAGAGAGTTGGGGAAGAGGAACACCCCCACCCCACCCCCACCACCCAAGAAATAAAATGATGATAAAAGATATATCTGTCTGATGGGATGTGGCTGTTGCTCCCTCTGAGTAAACCAGGACTGTACCTTATCTAGTCCTTTAAAGTGAGGAGATTTGCTTCTCGAGGGGTGATGCTGTTGTTGAGGAGCTGCATGCAGAGCTGGAACAATACATTTTCCACCCAGTTTACTTTGCTGTGCAAACAGAATGGAAACATTTTCTGAAAAGGAAAGCCTGGCTGACAAAATAGCAACTTTTACCAGGCAGCTGTTACAGGGTAATACTCAATCCAGGGAATGGGCAACTTCCCAATCCTATCAGCCCCTTCCTCTTCCTCCTCTTCACTCTTTTGCTCCCTGGGGCCAAGCTGGGAGGACTGGGATGGAAATGAGCTCCTAGCTGACACAGGACAAAGCAGTGCAGCAAGGATTTTCCAGTCACAGAAAGGATTGTTAAATCTCATCTGGCTTTAGAACTCCTTGACTTGCTTTCTGTTTCTTTTATCCTTATTTTCCTTTAGGATGAAGCAGATTAAACCTAACTGCTTATTCCTAGTAGCTGGTTCCATGGAGATGGAGGAGCAGTGGAGAGCAGCAAGACACACTTTGCCCTGGGCAGAGTGAGGGGCAGCTAGGAAGCAGCTCTGGCCAGCAGCCACTGCTCAGCACAAAGCCTGACTCAGCCCACCAAAGCTGGCATCAAGGCAGGTGCTCAGCCCTACTAAGTGGAATACTTGGGAATAATGTGTAAAACTAGTAAGAAAAATAAGAGCTGCAGTTTAAGGAAGGAGATTAAATTGCAAAGAGAGATACAAGCACTTGTGGCTGCTGCCTTCTCTGCTGGTTTCCTCAGGTAACTGCAGCAAAAGGGAAATGGCTCCAACTGGCAGGAACTTACCCAGTTCAGCAGTGGGGTCATGCCTTGCATCTGAGTCAGCCCAAGCAATGAATAATGTGACTAATAAACATTCCTGGAGACAGCAGCAGCACATGCAGGCCAGTTCCTGGGAAAATGACTAATCACTCTGCCATTCACTGTCCACCTTTCCTTTCTCCTTCCCTGGCCCAGCATCAGTGGGGAGGGTGGTAGAGGGTGAGAGGGGCAAAGCCTCCACATGTAGTCAGACGTTCCTGATTTTCTGCTACCTGTCTCCTGTTCAGCCCCTGAAGTGGAAACCACAGTGAGAACCCATGCCCAAGCTTTACCAGGAAGAGTGGAGATGTAGATGAGAGATGTTTCTAAGATGGGCTTTAAAAGGATGCAGGAAGGATCCTTTTTTTACCGATTTGAACCACTCAGCATCTTTGCTATTCACGCCTCCCCTCCCAGCCGGCCGGCGCTGTGCTGCCTGTGCTCAGCCTGCACCGCTGCAGGGTGATGTTGCCAGCCCCGAATTCCCACGTGGTGACAAGCAGAGCTGGAAGCAGATATCTGGGGAGCTGCTCTTCTTTTCCCACAACAACAACAGAGGTATTTCCTACCCACGCCCCTCCCTACCCGGCATTTCAGAAGAGCCGCTTTTGTTTTGGAGAAGCACCGCCCCGTACCAAAGCACCCAGTATTCTGCAGTAAATTATCTTAAAATAGAGACCTCTTCCACCAGATGTTTGTCTTGGAACTGCCCTCCAAACCCTGTGACAGAAATGAAAGGACGGGAAAGGCCAGGCACGTAAGACAGAGCAGAGGACGATGCTGTTTGTGGACCTTGGTAGAACCCCATCAACACCAGCCCAGCATGTCCAGGATTACAGGTACAGCCAGTCAAACCTCCCTACTCTGGGCCAGGTCAGGACAGGTCATTAGCATCTGGAAAAACCCTCAAGCTCATAAGATGTGAATTTTCCCTCTCAGGCAGCCAGCAGCTCAGACACTTCCCAAGGCTGTGTCAGGCCACTCCCACAGGGCTACACTGAGTAGACAGAAAAATCTTCAGCCTCCAGAAATATTAGTTTTCACTCTTTTTCAAACTCCACACATTTTCCTTTTACATCCCAAGGCATCCAATTCCATTTACTTTGGTTTCAAAGGCACATCTTGATCTGGTATACTTTATCCTGCTTTTTCCCAGCCACAGAGGGTTTCTCCTTCCCCATGAGGCTCCCAAACCAAACAAAACTTTGCTTCTCCTGGGAGGAGAGCCATGAGTGTCTCCAGTTCCCCTGCAAGCTGCCCACGTCTTCTACAGATGTTTTTTCCCGAAGTATCATTTGAACAGGGGGCAGAGCACAGGTGCACATCACATGATGGCACCACCACTTATTTTCCTTTTACTTTCCGTTTCTAATAAGTGCCTGCATTTGTTTTTGACCACTGCTACCTTATTTACAAGAAGCACAAGATATTTCATCTAAGAGATCAGGGTGTCCCTT